ATTCGCCTATTGAAATTCTTGAATATGTTAGAACTACTGATTGTTATTCATATGTTTCAATTGCTTATCGAATTTTATTAACAGTTCATGTAACAGTAGCATCTGTTGAAAGAAGTTTTTCTAAATTAAAGTTATTGTAAATTTATTTGAAGTCATCTATGTCACAAAAAAGATTGAATGGTTTAGCTATGTTATCTATCGAAAGAAATGCTAGAAATCGTTGATGTTGATAATATTATTTATGATTTTGTATCAAAAAATGCTAAGATAAGTAATTTTATGTATTTTTATTTATATTATGCAGACATACTCCCACAAAATAGCAAATAAAATATGATAATATGGCCGCGGCAACATGTATGAAGTTGGTGAAATAATCCAAAATATTAATAGTTGGTTTAAATCCTTTTGAGTTGTATTGTTTAATGTTTAATTTGTTTTGCATTAAGCATATTTTGTAAAATTGAAATATTGTTATTTTTAATCTTTTAATAATAATAATTTTTTTTTTTTTTAAAAAAATTATTTGGTAGGGACCTCATTTTTAAGTTTTGCCCGGGACGTTCGTTATGTCAGGAACGGGCCTGACTGTCCTTTATAGAGACTTTTTTATGGAGGACACATGTCTCCTCTGTTTCTTCTTTTGATCTGCAGAGTATGTCTGGCTTATATGTAAATATTCTTATTTTATTTGTTTATTAATTAATAAAATCCTTGTTTTTTTTATCATAAAAAAATAAATTAATAAGTGATTGATGTACTGTTTTTAATTAAAATTTAATTTCTCATAATATGGTAAATAAAAATAAATATTTTACTTAATGATTTGAGAGAATTTTTTTTTGATTGTCTAAACTTTAAATGTAAAGAACTCAAATCTAATCAGTCTCCTCAACGAGCATTAGCAAGTGTACTAACAGTGCAATTTACTACCGAGCTGAACTGAACCAGCGCCTATGGCATCGATGCCACTTTTTACTTAGACCATCACTCATAGTGAGTTTATCGTTACTTGTCCACAAGCAATTTTAACAAATATATTTTGAAATTTTGATACTATTCATTTTTTATTTATTTTTTTTCTTAAAATATCAATTATATTTCATTTTTCATAAAGCTCCATAACCCCCAAAAGTCTTTTGTCTGACTGGAACCCTAGACTTCTACTCGCAATGGATTCAACTGATGGACCAAGAAACAATTAACAATTGAAATTTAATTAAATGAGTCATTGAGCCAAATCACAAATGTGTTGGGCTATACTGAGTTTAATCGACCAAAATATCATTTGTGAAAAAAAAAAAAAAAAAAAAAGAAAAAAATCGAATAATCTGATATTATGGGGTGAACTCGTGATCATGAGATCATGGCGTTGAACATCCGGATTCTCTATGTCTTACCTGCTACACATAGTTCGACCGCTAATTTACTCATAATGCATAATTGAATGAAGTAACAGACATATTGACAAATATCACGAAAAGTCTTAAAAATGACTATTAGAAGTCGGTTACTTAGCCTTTTGTACTAGTTAGATATGCAATAGTCAACACACACCATTCAAGTATGTCACACAAATTCATTATTAATGGTATCAAAATAAATAAAATCATAGGTATATAAATTAGTATATAATTGTATGTTTGAATAAAAAATATAATACAGATCCAGCTTCAATAACACAGTTCAAAAATGTAGTTTGAGATGGCTCTAATTAAAAAAAAAAAAAAAAAAAAAAAACACAGTTTAGAGCATTTCCAAAAAACTTGTGACACCCAAAAGATGAACCCACGTAAGAGATTTTCGTCAAATTTTATTTGGGTCTTTCGACGTGAAATAAAAAAGTGGGAGTAGTGGAAAAAGTTGCAAGAAAAGAAGGGATATAAAATAAGAAAAACTATCATCCCAAGGATATTCAGCGGGTGAGCAAAATATCTGAAATTCGAAAATTCGATCCAAACCGAACCGAAATTTAAAATTTGATTCGGATTTTTCGGAATGGTTCGGATTGAATTTTTGTCAAATTTCAGATTTTTGGATCGGATCGGATCGGTATACTTAAAATCCGAACCAATCCGAAATCTGAAATATAACATTTTAATATATTTTTTTTATTATATATATTTAATATTTTATTAGAAAATATTATATTTTAATATAAAAAAATCAAAATTATTAATTATATTTTAATATATTTACTTTTATATATTATATATATATATTTAATGTTGTAAAATAATAATAAAATATAAAAGAAATTTACAAAGTAAAAAATAATTAAAAATATTTAAAATTTCGGATTTTTCGGTTTGATTCGGATTTTGTAGTTCGAATTTTGGATTTTCGGATTTCGGATTTTGATTATTTCGGTTCGGTTCGAATTGATTTTTTCAAAAATTTCGAATTTTCGGATCGATTCGAATTTGGCAAAATCCGAACCGAAAATCCGAATACTCACCCCTAATTCAACCTATCCGCGCCAAGCCAGAACAACATTCAGCATCATTTTCCTAATTTTTCTACTGCATTGGTTTCATAGTTTTTGTTCCAATAATTTAGCAATTTAATTTTCAGTCTCATTAAATCAAATTTCCAAATTTTATTTACATCATACTTCATCCGTACCAGTCCAATTAGCTCGATTTTCGCAATTGTTTTCTTTCCGATCAGGTCAGATCGGGTTTGTGTTCATATCGTTTTAGGTCGAACCGAAAACAAATCCCAGCAGACTCTCCAAACCACCACAGCGGAAGCAGATCTACGGATTTGGCCACTTGATAAAGTGTATATCTGCAAAAACAAAAACCTTAAGATTTATAATAGTCCCTCCCAAAATATTCATTTACTATTTTCATACCTTAGAAATATTTTTATATTTGTATAATATTTTTTATAAATATTATTATATTAATATTATAAAACAATACTTTTACATTTTTTCTTTAATTTGTAATATATTTTAATATAATTATTAATATTTAAAAATCAATACGCGAAAATAATAATAATAAAAGAGACTGTGCCCAAAAATTATGCCTTATATTAAAATTAATAATTAGAATTAAATTACCGGGAATTGTATCTCACGTTTATTTATTTTTTCCACACTTAAATTAAATGTGAGATGCGGAAATTGCATCTCATGTTTATTTTTTAAACAAATAATTAATTCTTGAGGTAATGTATGTGCCAAAACTGCACCTCATGTTTAAATTTTGTTTTTTTTTTAAAAAAAAATTAAAATAATAGAAAAAGTGAAGTGTGAAAATCTGAACTCATGACCATTTTACTTTTTTAAAATAAAAATAAAATAATAATATCAGAGATAAGGCGTAAAAAATTGTAAATTAAAAAATAATAATGTTTTATTAAAAGAAATAGTGAAAATGATATTTTAAAATTGAACGAGGGAGTATTAAAACTATAATGTGGACAAGTATATTTTACTTCTATTTTTTTTTGAGTAATTATATAATATTTTCTTGTGTTTTTCAGTAAAACGCACAAAATACTTTATGTTTTATTTACTGCATGAAACTCATATGTTATAATTTAAAATTTGCACAAAACATCCTCTCTTGTCCAAAGTTTTGAATCTCTTTTATATATGTCTAAGATTTGTATTATTTGGTCCATATTTACAAGCAAATATCAGCTTAGATGAAAAGGTATTTTGTGCAAAATTTATATTAACGAAAAATGTTTCACGTAAAATAAAACACATTATATTTATGCATTTTTACTAAAACACAATGGGTGCTATATAATTTTACCCTTTTATTTTATAAAATATACATGTTGTTCACTAAGCATTTTTAGATGAGATGATTTTTTTTATGTGGTATGCGAGATATAAAAAATATTCTCTCCGTCCCAAAAGTATAGTCTTGTTGTGTTGAGCACAAAATTTAAGAAATATTGATATTATATTTAGTAGTTGGTAAAAAGTAAGGATAAATGACTATTTTGCCCTTGTGAGTATATTAGTGTAAAATATAGTGGCAATTGTGTAATAATAATGAAAAAATAGGGATAGTTTTATGAGGGTATGATTATTTATGGAAATAAGATTATTATTTTGGGACAGAAAAAAACGGTAAATAAGATATTATATTGGGACGGATGAAGTAATATTTTCACTACAAGAAAAAATCATTTTTGTAACAAAACATTTTTGTCTTTAAATTTACTTTTTCCGTTACTAATGACATTAGAGACGGAATTAGGAATAGAATTATGTTAGTTACGTGAACTTTAGGAACATAATTCTGTTACAAATATATTATTTTTTTGCAGTGTTTGTGTTAAATGATTGACTTTTTATGAGTGGATATATATTATATTAATGTGTATATATATTTGTATTTTTTAAATAATATTTATAAGGAATTGTTTCATTGTAAAATATTGAGTGAATAAGACTGATAATTTAGAGTTGGGGTCCTTGTCTTTATTATTTGTTTTAAAAATATTTTTAAATTAGAGGGATTTCATTATTTTTTATTCTTAAAAATACTTTAGATATAAAATAATAGGTCTTTTTTTAGAAAATAGTAATGATTTTAGCATTTCCTCTTCATTTTTATTTTTTGTTTTTTTCTACAACACTTTCATAAAAAATAAACGGACAATTGGACTAAAATCCCTACCCCTATTTTCATATTTGAGTTCAGTTCCCACCAATAATTTTCACACACTGCACTCCTCACTTTATAATAAATATTACCACTAACTCCCCACACCAATCTTAATGACATTAATGCCCTTCTCTCCCCCAAATATCTATTTATCATTTCTGATATAGTATGTTTCTCGTTAGGTTATTTTCGCGCGAAGGAGTTCTGTTCAACCTTCCGTTTCATTTGCGCGTGATCGATAGGAATGGCGATATCAAATTCAAATCACAATTCTTAGGTTTATTTCGCACGAGGAAAACACGGGTAAGAGGAAGCACAGCTTTCGAATATTTTTTATTGTAATAATTTTGTTGATTGACTACAATGGCGTTGTTAGGGCTCACAATCGATTCTACCCACGTTCCATTGAAGACGAGATCGGAACTTAGGTATGATCGATCTATCTTCACTATTATTTGATATTAGAAGTAACCGTGATCGATGAAATGATTTGTGTGATCGATCCACGTTGTCGTCAGGTTCTTGGAGATAATTTTCATTTTATTGTAGGTATCGACAAAATATGAAGTTTTCTGTCAGTATAAAACAATAAGTTTAAATTTTGAAAAAAAATACTTTTTCGGTTTAACTTTTCAGTATAAATAGTTATTGTTGATCTGTGCTGATTAATATAGTTATATATTAAATTTTGATGATTGTAATTTGTATGTATTGATTTTGGTAATACCATTGGAGAGAAATGAAGAATTTGTATTTGGTGAATTAACAACATTCAATGTGTAATCCCAAATTGTTAATCATGTATACACATGGAGGGGAGCTTCATGTGGTTGCTCTAGAAGAGAATACATTGCTCGCAGATCTTTATAGTAATTTATCGAAACGATGGAACACAGTTACCATTGAAGCTGTAAAACTTCAATATATAGCACCAATTCAAAAGAATTACGTGACATTGTTGTGTAACAATGATGTGTCAAATATGTGGAGAATGCATATTTTGTTAAAAGTTATGTTTGTGGACATGGTTGTACATTCGAGAAGTGAGCACCAGAACTTGCCGCCTCAATGCAGCATTGGACGTAGGTATGTATTGTTGTATTTGGTTTGAAGAAATTTTATCGTAGATTGTAATCAAAGATGTACCACTCCAAGAATATGAATTATAAGCATTCATGTTACATGCCCAATATACCGACAAAGTAAGTATTACCTATACAGACTTTAAGGTGAAATGATGCATGTATTCATTATTTTCGATATATATGGTTGGTAATATATTACCTCCATATTTATTGATTGTGCTGACAACATTCTTGCGTGGCCATGACATACGAGAGTGTCTTTTTGTTTTTTGTTTTGGTTTTTTGAAGTTGATTGTAGGTAGTCATTGGCTGCGCATTTTTGTTAATGGTTGCGCAGGACTGTACAAACCCATGAAGGTATTGTAAATAGTGGGGAAGTAACGTCGAAGGTATGGTGTAGACGGTTACTTCCACACTATACGCCATTGACACTATCCATCGGTCTGAAATAGGTAGGTGGAATGTTACAAATAACATCAATATCTGTAGCTTGAGATATTATACTGTAATTTGTAACTAGCCATGGTTAATAGATCCAGTTGCACCTTAAATACCCTGGATGCCATGGTAATTAACCGTGCACGGTCTATACGTACCCGGTAAAGAAAGATGGGTACCTATCCTTTTAGTTAGGAAAAACTTTAATTCATAATAATTTTTGTGTTCTGTAGGGGTGAAGCTGAGGGTATATTATTCGATGAAGATGAAATGACCGGTGTTATGGTTGCTGATGAAAGCATGGACCGTATTTCAATGCAAAGATGCATTATCGGGGAAGGTCAAACGTTCAAGGACGCGCTTGAGTTTAGAAGGATGCTGAAGAATTACTGCATTGCGACACAAAAAGCATGTAAGTACCATAAGAATGACTTGAAGAAAATTATAGCCGCATGCATCGATAGTAGTTGTGGCTGGCGGGTTTATGCCTCATACCATGTTGCAGAGTGCACATTTGGTATTCGTACTTGCAACTTGCAACATACCTGCGAGTTGAGCTTCTTGCAGTCTCGGGATCATCCACATGCAGATGCAAATTGGATATCGGATGTTTATAGAGATAAGGTACGTACTATGCCATCATATAAGGCATCCGACATCCAGATGCATATTCAAACTGATTATGGGATTGATGTCAAATATCATAGAGCGTGGCGAGGCAAGGAAAATGCGATGAGGTCTATCAATGGAGGGGGTAGGGACAGTTACGGGAATCTCTCCTGGTATTGTCATGCGTTGCGTGAGTGTAATCCCGGCAGTATGGTGGATTGTGAAGTGGAAGCAGAAACACGACGTTTCCAACGCCTATTTGTATGCTTCAATGCTTGCAAAATTGGTTTTCTTAGAGGTTGCAGACCTTTAATTTTTCTGGATGGGACACATTTGAAGAACAAATACAAAGGATGTCTACTCAGCGCAGTAACAATAGATGGCAACGATGGGATGTTCACTTTAGCCTTTTCCGGTACGTATATTTACTAATTTGTTGGTGAATATGCCCAATTTGAGATTATTTGTGCAATGGTTGGTAATTATTTACATTGATGAGGATCTCTTGTATGAGACGATATGTATATGAAGAAAGCTTTGTGGGGCTGTTGCGATTTCGCAATAGTATGCGTGGGCATTTTCACATAATTTTTTTTTTGGCGGAGTAAACCTATATTTATTAATCTTATACTCATATTGACTGATATTATATGCTTTATATGTTTAAAGATACTTTGGTTTGGTTGATATGTACTACATTTACTCATTACTGAACCCTGCTAAATTTTTCATGTGCTTGTGGTTTGGATGTTCATAAAATCTTGTTGCTATGCAGCGGTATCAGTCGAAAATGACGAAAATTGGGAATGGTTTTGCTGGAGGCTAAGGTCTGCTCTTTATGTTGATGGTCGGTATAATTCGAAAGAATATACTTTTTTTTCGGATAGACACTCGGGACTTCTAAAATCTATCCCTGTTGTATTTCCCGGAGCCCATCACGTATATTGTCTCCAGCACTTAGTAGACAACTTCCGCACACATGTATGTGTAGAATATATTTTAAAAAGCTTTATATAATGTGAACACGGTAATTATATTCTGTTTAGGTAATGCGGAGATATCCGATGCACTACAAGAAACGATGGAAATCTGTTTTCAACAAAGCCACTTATGCACCCCTACAGAAAGATTTTGAGCAGCATATAACGTCTGTGGTGGAGGCTATGCCACTTGCCCGAAACTTTATTGCACAATCGCAGCCCCAGTTATGGGCGAATTCTCTATTCCAAGGGACTCGTTGGAGGATAATAAATAACAATATAGCCGAGTCATGGAATAGTTGGGTGCGTTAAGCAAGGTCATTGCCTTTTGTTGGGATGCTTGATTCTATCCGACAACAGGTAATGTCTGTGATGAATGAGCGTCGGGAGAAATCCGAGAAGATAGGAAGTAAGTTATGCCCTAAATAGGAAAGTAAATTGGCGTTGTCGTACATGGCCTCAAGAAGGCTACAATGTAACCAATCATCAGTATCGACGTTTGAGGTGCTTGATCGTAATGATAGGTATGCGGTCGATTTGGAAAATCGAAAATGCACGTGTCGGGAATGGCAAATATTTCGGCTTCCGTGCAAGCATGCATGTGCATGTATTGAAAAGTTTCATATATCTATATATGACTTTTGCGATGAATATTACAGCGTTGAACGCTACAAGAGAACTTATAAAGAACCCATAACCCGGTGCCGACTCATGATATGAATGTAGTGAAGAATAACCCGCAGACAGAGATAATTCCTCCTACAACATCGGTCCAACCAGGCTGGCCAAAGACAAGACGGTTTGAATCACAACAGGTGAAACAATCTAAAAAATGTGGTCATTGCGGTCACCTAGGACATAATCGACGAAGTTGCAAGGAGGCTTTACCTTAGGTATTTCTAGTTATGGTTGGAATCTCTTTTTGTTTCTGAAAGACTGTAAATTGAACGATGATCTACGTACGTGACCACGGTTGATGGATTTTGAAATTGGATGGTATTCCCCTTATATTCCTTGTTGTACACAGCTAATGTATCGGGGTATGTATCATTTTAAATTAATTCAGACCAATCCGTTCCAGGAGTACGTGAACGCATATTGAAAGTACCTACAATATTATTATATTTTTATAAAATATGCCAAAGACAATAGTTACTAACAGTGAATCGTCAGTAGGTATTATATATATTTGACGGAGCATTTATAATGGCTATACGAGTATTTTGTGTCATTTTGGAAGTATATCCATTAATATAAAGGGTATACATAGTAGTAGTAATTGGATGCATCTTTGCCAATGGAAGTATTCATATTCGTTTGCAAATATTATTAATGTGAACATGGGTATTCAAGTTACATGGCCATAATTTGTCAATGATTGTTATTGGATCAAACAATTATGAGTGGATTACGTCATACCCACTTTTTGGGCAGTGAGTATGCAACAGGGAATACTTCCGAGATGATATACGAAAAAACCTATCTAGATATGCAATGGTGGAAGAATGTCACTTATGAAGTAATATAAGTTAAGGTGACTTATGGTAAGGATCTAAATGAAGTCAGTGCATAACTAATGATCTAAAATATTCTTTATATTGTGAATGTTCGTTCTAGCATATCTAAGAGTAAGAAGAAACACCCGACAAGAACAAATAGAGTATGAGGGATAGAAAATATTAGTCTTAAGATATATAGGACTTCCCCACGTTGTAGGAAATGTATTGGTCATCTATGGTTTTATGTCATCGGTCCAACGGCGCTTTCAGAATAATTTGGTGAGTACACCGCTGCTTTCAGAAAATTTTGATGAGTACAACACTTCTCAACATACGTCATTTACATTTAAAAGTAGTTAGCGAACATATTCCTTTCTACGAGTACATTTTATTATTTCAGAGGTATATAAATTACTAATATGAAGTTACAAATATCATCACTGAGGGTATATGGTTTGGTTCTAGGGGTATGTCGACACGTAATTATAGGTGTGTGAGTTACAAACCCTAGTATATATTAAGACGTTTGGTTCACATATCATGTATACAGACGTATATCGGACCAAAATAGAAGTACATATAAGCAACCTCTTAAAATAACATGCGTTAGATTAAACTGGTTTGTTTTGCTTACACAGTCTACGTCAAAATATAACATCAACGCTTACTTCCCCTGATTGGCCACAAATCTAAGCTATCCATCAATCCGACCATTACAATTCACACTCCAATCATTCAATAAGTACTAAACAGGTCCTCCGGGGCCCCCTGATAAAATGCGTGCAACAATTTTTGCTCTATAGGCCTTAACATCGTCAAATTCGGCTGCCCAGCCACCCAGTGGATAACGGTTGGTATCATTTAGAGCATAGCTCTCAGCATACATGCATACCATGGGGCCACAGTCGAGACTTTCACCTTGGTCTCGACTAAAAATGACCTCCAGGGTATCATCTGCCATTGGCCAGAAATGAATTTCATTCAAGTACAAGTACATGAATCGAGTCTACATAAGAATAACCCAAGGTGAATTAATATGTTAGGATAGATATAAGGCACATACTATAATTCTTACCAGACTTTTTGCGTTTCCTCTTGTGAAGGGAGATCTCTTTGAATTGCACTCTGTCATTTTACGTGAAGCCATATCCAAAATGCACAAATGCCAATGAAATTTTGTGTGGACCGGAAAAAATACATACCGACAACCATCCCTAATTGGCTCCATTACTTTAGCCACTTCAAGCTGCACGACCTTTTGTAGAGATAAATAAAACTCCCTGATGTTTTTGCTCACAAGATTTTTGTTTTTATTAATCGGCCGCTTTTTTCAAGTTTGATGTTGTCTCAATGATTGTCGTCTGCAGTACATTCAGAATTACATAAAAAACTATTAACTGTAACATACGATGAACTAAATAGTATAAATATTAATATAAATTAACACCATACAACGACAAATGAATGAACGAAACCACATCGCGTTATCACCCCATGTTGGTGCCTAAATTCTTGACTGCAGAGCCATTGTAAGTACGCATCAACAATCTTACCACAGATAGCATCGTTAAATAACAGATCGATCACTGATTCGGACGTTACGTATACTAGTCCATGGTTCCAAAAAGTCGCCCTACAAACACCAACCTCTTAGAGTGCTTCACATATTTGAAAATTATACATATAGAGCACAAGCTAGTATTTACCGTATATCAAAATTTGCAAGAAAGTTGTGTATCATTTTGGTCTCCTATTTGGAAATGCATCCACTCCCACAGTAATTAGTAGACCCTCGATAAAATTCCCACTTCGAAGGATCGGCAACAAAGGTCTGTTTATGGCCCGTTTCACCATCACCAACCTACAGTTACATAAGTTGCCAATCGAAGCACACACATTGTATATCCAGGCATATAATTTGTTCTGATAAAAATTACCAGATACAAACTAAGGTACATGAAAAAATAATAGACGTACAAAATATGTTACCTAAAGCACACAAAATATTAACGTATGAATGTTTCACCAACCTTGATTGTTTGATCATTGTTTTTGCTTTTATCCTCTCCTTGTCTTGTTGCTCTCCCTTTCTTTTGTTTTAATTGTGGAGAATAAGTGAATTCCGGGTCTTTTTTTCTTTTTCGGTCACGTCGCGCAATAACACCACGCACAATTGACGAGTCCTTTGGGAATTCTGCCCCAACTTTATTGCCACATTCTTCCACCGATGTAGTATGTTGTATCAAAACGGTAAATACCCTTCATGGTACATACTCGAACCATTGCAATAACGAAAAAAAAAACTTGGAACAAACCTGTTTTGCTGTTACTACTCCACAGACTTCCAGAGCAGCCTCCCCGGGAGGGTCGGAGGTATCATTCGTCTGCCCCTGTGCCTCGGAAGTTCCAACCATATCTTCGGCATCTTTTTCTTCGTCGTCTTTATCCGCATTAACATTCACCTCATGCTCTTCCTCCTCTTCGTTCTCACTACCAGTCTCCCCAACCTCTTCCTCATCTCCATTGTCTTCACTATCATTCGGAGCATTACTTTATGTCTCAAGTTTCCTTGTCAACTGTTGGATGATGTAATCTTTTTTCCTGATTTCTACCTTCAACGATGCGATCTCATCCGCCGCATTCTACATCAAAAAATTTACTAAAATGATCAATACTAACTTTACTTTATTTAATAAATAGCCCATTAATAAATAGCGGTACCTCCAACACGTGACTTATAGCCTGGACAAACTTCTCTTCAGTTCGGCATCTGAAAAAATCCTCCACATCACTCATCTTCAGTGATAGTAGTTCTGAAGTTGCCAAAGCTCTAGAGATTGGTCCTTTGCTATCAAGCCATCTGAAGCAACGGGTACTGTCGGTAGTCTCCTTGCTTTGTTGAGTCTCGGAATGCGCTCATAAATCCAGGCCTGCGATGAAAAAGACCAGTAATTTCAATTATCAGAGACTATCTCAAAATTTTCTCACCTAAATACATAGATTAAATACGTACCAACAAACCCATCGTGCATCCAGCCAAGTAAGACTTCCCAGATTTGTAGTCCCTCATAGACTTCAATAGGTACCGATAACATGCGGTCCCCCAAGCGTAGTCACCTAATGACTTCAAGTCATCGACATATCCCAGTAAAAACATTGGAACCCGATAGTTTGTGGTTGTAAACAAAATGTTGGCAAAGACAAACAAAATATACAATCTGACAAAGTCATCGATGGCCACAATGTCGTTTTGAGTTGCCATAGTTTCTTCCAGCTTCGCAAGAATTTCAATCCTTGTTACAGACCTCATTTTCCCCCCGAACAATCTCGAAAAGCTTTCACATGATGCAACGAAATTCTCAGACGCATACACGCCTTTTGAGTGTAAACCAAGAACTACAAAAAATTCTTCTGCATAAAACTTTATTTCTATTTCATTGCTAATTTTAAATGATTGGGACTCGATGTCAAACATATTCACAATCGCCCACAATTGATGCTAAGGTACCTTCATTTTCGGACAATCTAAAAAATACCCAAAAGGCGTGAGTTGCACAGCTTTCAGCTGTTTGTCGTTCATTCGAACTTTAATTTTAGCCATGTTTGTGTAGAAGAAAGGTATAGAGAATCTGGTGGTAAGCCCTTTGTATTCTTTTTCGGGTCTGCAATCATTTCAAGATAAAGACATATTTTCATGAGTATATCCAACATAAATGCAAGTTTATGGCATAACTACAAAGGTAAGTAGTCTTCTAATTGAGGTATATAAATTAACAATCAAGGCACACCAAAGACAATAAGAGACACTCGCAAACAATATAAAGAATAAATACAATTTTCATTAATTAAAAAAATAGATACATCTATAACTAACCACATAACAGAGACATCGTCCAGCCATTAGTACTTGAAAAATCACCCGACAAGAAA